CGATGGTAAGTGCGAGCGAACGACGGAAAGAGAGAGCGTGTGTATGTGTGTGAGTGACCTACTAGAAAGTGTGTGGGTCGGTGTGAGTGCATTCGTGTAAATGACTGTTTTTGATCCTTCCATTTCGGCTCCCAGTGGATGCAAGAAGTTGCCTCCCGCGACCAAGGCGCGTCCGTCACGAGCGGTCCGCCCATTCACGGCGCGACTTCCTCGTCCTTCCCCGCGCCCTCAGTAATCAATTCAAAATCCGCCATGGGCGGCATTCCAGTGCCGCAGCATATTGGGGGCGACCGGCGGGACGTGGAGTCTGGGTCACCGGTGGTGGCGGCCTTCAAGGAGCGCATGGCCGCTGTCAAGGACAAGCAGAATGTGCTGGAGATGTTTAGCCCCGTCAGAGGATCGGGAGGTTTGTTTCTTGTGTAAGTCCTTCCGTGTGTTAACAGAGTCATTTGCTCGTCCCCTGTGATTGACTGCAGACAAGTTTGCCGCCGTGGACGCTCGCATTAAGGAGCTGAAGAAGGGGAACCTTGGGAAGACCGCCGCCGGCGTTCATGCGCTGACGGTCTCCACAGCGGGGCTTGGCGGCGAGTCCGGTAAGTGTTGAGTTCATTCCTTCGCGAAACGAGGCCGCTGACAACAAATATCCCAATTTCAACTTTTTTTTTTTTTAACAAAAAACACCCGCATAAGTGTTGGACCTCTTCTCGCCTGTGACCAACCGCCACCAGTCGCTCAGCGCCTCCCAGCTCTCGCATCCACCGCCGCCGCAGCCCAACTTTCCGCTGCAGTCGCACAGCGCGTCTTCGCCGCCCGCCACGACGGATCCGACTAACACAGCAAGAGCGGTTGCGGACCGTCCGAGCCGCGGCTCGTCGGCAACCGTCTCGCAGACATCGTCGCGGCCGATGACGCCCACGACGGGCGTCTCGCCGTCGCCGTCGCCGGCGTTTTCGCCGGCTGGTGTCGCCGAAAACGGCACCGGCGCTGCTGGAAAAGCAAGAGCATCAGGAAAGGGCACGCAGGCTGTCCCGCTGTTGTCGACAGCGGGACAGGGACAGGTTAGACCCATTAGACCCAAGCTTCGTGTTACATATTGGGTTAACTTTTTTTACCTCCTCTGGCTGACTTTCTCTTTGGTCCAATATTTCTACTCCTTCTGGACAATACAAACACACCAAAGGCGTCCAGTGCGCCGCTTGGGCGGCTCCACCAGGCCGTATCGACGCTTCGCGGCAGCCCCGGCGGCGCGCTCGCGTCGTCGTCGTTGGTTCAGCCCGACGACAGCGGCGAGGGTGACAGCTCGTCGGACTCTGCGCCCCGCCGCGCCAATACCGCCACGATGCTGCAGCGTCGGAAGACGGCACCGGCAAAGAGTGCACTGTCAAGGAGTCTGGCTGACGGCGACGATGCTGCGACGGCCCGCGGCCCGCCGGAACAGGCGTCATCCCAGCAGCAGCAACAAGCCGACCGCCAGCGGCGTGCGCCGCTGCCGTCGTCGTGGACCGTTCAGGGCACCTCGCCGCCGCAGCTGCGGGCGGCGGCGTCTGCGCAGCAAAAGTCGCCACGTGCCAGCGACGGGCTCGATGCGGACGACGGCGCGTCGGCTGGGTCTCCGCTGCCGCTGCCGTTGGATAGATGGCTTGACACAGCGGGTGGCGGCGGCGGTGACGACGACCTGGAGATGGAGGCATGCTCGCCCGCGTCGTCGGTGGTCTCGTTCCGGTCCGCTCCGCCTGCCATGGCGGACGCGCGGGCGGGGTCGCCATCGGCGTTGCCGGTGGCGGAGTCAGCAATGGCCACAAGCCCGCACAGCGCCGGGTGGTACGCAACAGTCCCCGAGCGCGGGGCGACGGCCGCTGCTGCGGCGCGGCGGGCGATGGCGGCGGCGGCCGCAGCCGGCGCAACGTCGCTGACCTCACCCACAAAGCCGCCGCAGCAGCAGCTGTCGCAACAAGGGAGCACCGCCGGGGTCGAGTCGAAGGCGGCGGCCACCCACAATCAGGTGAAGCTGACGATGGTGCAGATGACGTCGACATCGACGATGCCGGTGGGGCTGGTGTCTCCGCCGGCCGCGATGCGCCCGCACATGCTGTCGTTTGAGATCGAAGAGGAAATGGACAATGACTATTTGGCGGCTCCATCGGCGACGGGGTCGTCGTCCGCAACGCCCGTTGGCGGCATGATTGGCACAGCGGCGACGACTACGGCCGGAGGCCACGTTATGTTTGCGAATGGGGCCGATGTGTTGGAGGCGGGAGAAGACTCGGACGGAGCGGAGGAGGCGGAAGGTCGGGAACGCGACGGTCGTGAGGAGGCGGCGGAGGAAGAGGAGGAGGAGGTAGATGGGAAGGCGGTGGACGAAGACGAAGTGGGCGAGGCCGAGAAGGAGGACGACAGCGAGGGTCGCCGACGGCACCAACAGCGGCATGAGCAGCTTCAGCAGCAGCAGCGGTCGGTGCGGCGGCAGAGTCATGTCTCTGCGGAGCGCGTGAAGACGCGGGGCGCGCGCGGCCGGCACGGGACAACACTTTTGGCTCACGGCCACCTGACTCACGGGCACGCGGGGACCGGCGGAAGCGCCGGAGTGAACGGGTCGACGGCTTCAGCTTCAGGTACGGTTGCGGGCGACGCGGGCGGTACTGTTGGTACTGGTACTTTTCCGGGCGAACCCACGTGGGGGGCGACCACGACTGCGACATCGACGACGCCGACGCCGACGACGACGACGTTCCAGGCGCGGATGCTGCAGTCGCTGGTGGAGGACAGCCTCGCGGATCTTCGAGCCGAGCTGCGGCAGGAGATACAAAATATGCACCTGGAGCTGCTGCGGCAGTTTTACATACAAAAGGTGCGTTGCGCGAGCGTGTTAGTGTTTCCTTTAGTTTCTTTTCTCTTTTTTTTCTATGTTATTTGCGTTGCGGCAATCGCTTCTCTCTGACGACGGAACCAACAAATCACACGAAAAAACGAAAAACAAACAAAAAAAAAAAATAATCGCAGACGGAGGTGGACGCGCTGCTGCGCAAGCACTCCCCGACCGAGGCGCTGCTGCGCGAGGTGCGCGAGCTGCGCGAGGAGAATGCTCGGCTGCGGTGCGGGTACTGAAGAAAGTACTGACTGACTAGTACTGTGTGAGTGGGGTACGTCTGCTGCTGCCCTCGGGCGAGAACAACATGGGAGGGCGGGGGGGGTGGCCGATGGTAGTTGGGGTAGTAATAAATACTTGGGAGTACAGTAGCAAGAATGCTTGCTTGCGTATAGTATTAATGCCGGTCTCAGTATTTATGTGATTGCAGCTTCCGCGGGTGGGTCGGAGTGTGAAAATGCAAACGTGCGTGTGTGTGTCGATTCGAATGCGAATTTGTCAATCAACAATGTGGCGGAAAAACAGGAAACGCCGACGAGATAAAGGAAACGAGATAAGAAAGAGAAAGGAAAGAAAGAAGGAGATCATAATAATAATGGCGCCATCCGAGATCGAGGCGGAAACGGCATCGAAGGCGGCGACGGCGACGGCGACGGCAGCGAGCGACGAGGTCACGGTCAGGATCGGCGTGCTGGGTATCTATCCGAGGGAGAGAGTGTGGGGCCGAGAGTGGCGGAGGCGAGGCGCAGTGCGATCATCATCCTTGAGCAAGCACTAACTCAACCAACAACCCCTCACCCACAACTACTACCGCAGCCCTGCAAGGAGCCTTCTCCGAGCACGTCTACACCTTCCAGCGTCTGCGCGTGCCCCTTCCTCCTACCACCCCCACCACCACCGCCACCGCCTCCTCTGCAACTTCCTCCTCCCTAACCCGCACGCTCCGCGTGCACCCTGTCGAAGTGCGCACCGTCGCGGATCTGTACCCGGCCGGAGCGCCGCTGGACGGCTTGGTGCTGCCCGGCGGCGAGTCGACGGCGATCGCGCACATGGCGGAGCGCGGGGCGGGGAAGGGGCTGATGGAGGCGATTCGCGGGTTTGTCGAGGGCGGCGGGGACGACGGGGAGGGAGAAGAGGGACGGCCGGTGTGGGTTCGTGTTACCCTTCTTCTTCCTTTTTCTCTTTTTTTTTTAGTTTTTTTTGTTTGTTTTTGGAGGTGTGAGAATTCTGACCCCCGCGGGGCGGCTTCTCGTAGGGCACCTGCGCCGGCATGATCCTCCTCGCCGCGACGGCGACCAACACCAAGCAGGGCGGGCAGCCGCTGCTGGGTCTGCTCGACGTGCGCGTCAAGCGCAACGCGTTCGGCCGCCAGCGCGACTCGTTCACGGCCCCCGTGCTCGTGGCGGGGCTCGGCAACTCGGACCACGTTCCCATGGGGGCCGCGACCGCCGCAAACCCGGCCGCGGCGTTCCCGGGCGTGTTCATCCGCGCGCCTGTCATTTCGCTGCTCGACGAGGCGGAGGCCGAGGCCGCGACCGACGGGCGGAGGGGGAGGAGGAGGGAGCCCGTGCACGTTCTTGCGCGGGTGGTGCACCCTTCGTCGGTGTCGTCGGGTGGGGCGGCATCGCCGCCGCTTCCTGGGTCGGCAGAGGGCGAGGTGGTGGCGGTGCGGCAGGGGCGGGTGTTTGCGACGGCGTTCCATCCGGAGCTGACGGAGGACGCTCGGGTGCACGCCATGTTTGCGCGGTGGGTGTGGGAGGCGCGGTGCGAGCGGGAGGCTTCGGCTTTGTCGGTTGCTTCGGCGACGATTGGGGGAAAGGCGGTCGTGGGGTGACCCGGGAAGCGACGGACTCTGTTGGGGGTGTGCGGATAATGAACTGGAAAAAAAGGCACAACGTGAAAACAGTTGGACCACATATTGGAAAGAGATACGGAAAGACGTATCCGGATGGGGAGTTGAACATCCATTCTCCGGGCGACAAAGTGCTAGAATATTCGGTACCTTAACCGTTAGACAATCTGGATGACAACACCATCAACATGTTATCGAGTGAATTTGCGTCCCGACGTGGCGGTGGTTAAGCGCTCTTAATGATCATACAACAGGTTGCAGAAAGTGAAGAAGTAACTACAATATCCGGATGGGGAGTCGAACACCCATTCTCCGCTGGTGGAAATGCTAATGGAGCGGCATCTTAACCGGTAGACGATCCGGACTCTGCTTAATTGGATTCTTGTTTATTTTGTTTTCTTTCTGTCACAAAGGACACCTAGAGGGGAATCAAAAACACTGATAAAAGAAGCGGGGACGCAGGAATGAGTCGGTTGGGCTCGAAATTCCTTCTTTTTTTTTTTTTTTTTTTTTTTTTTTCTCGTTTGCGCTAGGCAATCAATCACCTTTGGAAAACGTCAAGCAAAGAAACGCGCGCGATCCTACAACGCCGGACGCAATCACCAAACCCACAAAAACGACGACGGCGACGGCTCAGCGCGGTCGTCCAAAACCCACGGGGTCCAGTCGCTTCCGCGTCGCAGCCCTCCGCCGTCGCTGCCAGCGTCGTCATCATCCTCCCCGTCGTACTCCCCCTCGCCCTCCTCGTCCTCGTGCTCGTACTCATCCTCGTCCTCGCCGCCCTCATCGCAGCTGCACACCTCGTCATCGCAGGCATTTCGCCCCTCGTCCTCGTCGCCGCCGCCGCCGCCGCCAAAATCATACCACAACCCGCTGTAGTGTCGCGGCCAGCACGGGCCGGTGGAAGACGACGACGAGGCGACGGCGGCGTCGGATCTTGTCGAGGACGACGACGACGACGACGGCAGCGGCGGCGGCGGCGGCGGCGGCGACGAGCGGAACGACCTAGCCAACGCCTCCAAGACCGCCGCGTTCGTCGAGGGGATGATGTCATCGTCCTCGTCGTCGTCATCGTCATTGTCGCTCGACTGATCTGCCGAACCCACCGAGTCAGCCGGCCCATCGAAACCCACATACATATGGGGAAGGCGGCCGTCGCCGCCGTCGCCGGTGCGCGCGGAACCGAACGACCCGCTCCCGCGAGGGCTTGACGCACGAGCGGGTCCTCGCGCCGGAACGCGATCCGCAAACACGTCTTGGATGAAGCGCCGGTACCGGCGTGCGCCTTCGTCCAGGCCGTCCTCGTCGCTGTCGTCCACCCCGTCGTCGTCGTCTGAGCCTGCACCGTTGATCGCCGCTAGATCCGCCAAGGTGTTGTATATCCGGCTTCCATAATAATACAGGCTGGAAGGCTCCGCGCCCACATCGTCATGCAGGGAGTGGTACGATTCCCGCCCGTTGGAAGCGTTTCCCGCGCGGTTTGTGGCCCCAGAGTTGCGATTCGTCGACGAGCGGCCCGACGCTCCTGCACCTCGGTTCCTATTGGTGGTTGAGCGTGTAGACCGGCGAGCAGGCGCAGCGGGGGCAGGCGGTGGGGGTGACGGCGGCACGTCCTCGTCATCGTCGCTCGTCAGGTCAATCAGCCCAGGATACTCGTCGTCCTCTTCCGAGCTATCGCTGTCCGCCTGCGAGCCGTCATCGTTATTGGGATGGTGCGGACCTTGCGCTCTGTCGGGGTACGCTTGTCGCTCGATTCGATGCATCAACCTGAAAAAGTGGCGCATCCGGTCCTCGCTGTCCTCGCTGTCGTCGCTGTCCAGAGAAACGGAAGAGTCGGTAAGCTCTTCGTCTGACTCGGCCCACGGGTCGAGGTGCATCTCCCCGTCGCGGAGCTCCCTTTCAACGTCGGAATCGCTGGGAAAGTCAAACGGCAAGTGCATCATCGCGTCGCCGACGTGGAAAAGGAGCGTGTCGTCAAGGTTATGGCCGACATTCGGTATGTGGATGTCGCCAGTGTCCGTGGTGTGGATTGCGACGCCGAGAGACCTTGCCAGACGCAAAACTCGCTCGCGCGGGGAGAGCCGACTGGAGCTTTCGTCCTCTCCGCCAGCAGGCTCGTGCGCTGAAAGCGGGCCGCGACAGGAAGGGCAGCTTGGCTTTAGCAAGTGCCAGTCGTGGAGGCACGCAAGGTGGTACGGCTGCCTGCAGCAGGTCGTGGTGAGTTGCGGATTGGGCTCGATGCATATTAGGCACGCTTGAGATACAGGCTGGGCCGGTTCAGCCGCCGCCGATTGTTTGAGCGATGTGCTTGACTGCGGGCCGTCGACAACGGTCGCGGCAGACGCGTTCGAGGACAGCGATGTTGACGATGACGCCGTCGGCAAGCCAGAACGCTGGACAGAAGCAATGCGACTCGCACGGGTTTGCGGGCGAGATGATTCTTGAGGTGGATCGCGAGGGGGTGACGACGACCGTGGATTAATACGTGTAAAGCTGAACGCTTCGGTGGATACATTGTCCGAAAATGATGTTGTCGATGACGCCGTCGGCAGGCCAGAACGCTGGAGAGACGCAAGGCGGCTCGCACGGGTTTGCGGCCGGGACGATTCTTGAGGTGGACCGCGGGCAGGTGCGACTGGCGGTGACGACCGAAGTGTAAAGGTCAACGGTTCAGTGGATATACCAGGTGAAAAGCGAGGAGTATTTGCGCGAGGTTGACTGGACGCCGAAGACGAAGCGGTGTAGTCCCTCTGTGATGTGGAATAAGAACAACTGCAAAGGAGAAAAACGGAGCTGTTTTGTGGGTCGCTTCCCAAGATTTACCGGCGGCGGCGGCGATCCGGAACGCTGCTGACGTCGTTGTGGTCCTGGCTGGTGGTCGGGCGAAGGAAACGTCCGAAGACGAGACGAATGAGGATCAGCAACTTGCCCAGCACCGCGTCCTCCTTCGACACCTCGATGACTGGTGCTGCTGGGTGCCGCAGCGCGCCCATTATTCAAGTTTCGCTGCCGATGGCTTCGTCCTTGTGGCGAAATCGCGTTGGCGTTGGGGCGGAGATCCTCGGAGGCTCGATCGGTGGATGCTCTGGATTCAGACGCCGCAGCCTCAATAGGAGGAGGTGGTCCCGGTGTAAACTCAAGCCCAACTGACGACACCGACGACCGGGGGTTTGACGACGATGAAGATGCGTTGCTACTGCTGGCGGCAGCGGCAACGGTCCTGCGCAGACTTCCTCCTCCTCCTCCCCCTCCCCCTGCTCCGCCATCTCCTGGGCGGTTAAAAACACTGCGGTAGAGAAGGGTCGTGGAGGAGGCGGAGGAAGCGCCGCCACCGTCATAAGTTCCGTTGCCTCGGGTGAATTGGAAAGCGGCTGTTGAAACGGACGACATCCGGGAGGACGAAGAAGACGGCGCCGCCACTGCGGCCGACTGCCTTGCAGCAGGAGCGCTGTCTACCAGAGAGCCCGTCGCTGATGGCTGGTGGTTGTGGTGGTGGTGTTGGTGGTGGTGGTGGAGTGGACGATCGTCGACCCCGCCGCCGCCGCCGCCTCTGCCGCGCCTCCGGTGAGCCGGCATTTCTCTTTCTCTTCGTCGCTCTGTCCTTCCTTGTCAGACACGACACGACACGGACGGGCACACACACAAATTCCAAACGCAGCAAGCGCAGCTTGACAATCCCATTCTTTACTTCGACGAGATGCTGCAAACTATTATTATTACATACCTCTCGTCAAGCTCGCAAAATGATGGCACCTCTTGCTTGGAGTGTCAGGCCTTGAGAACGACACTTCTTCACTCGTGTCTGGTTCACGTTTTCCTTCGCAACGCGTGCGCGCGAAAGTTTTACCCCCTCACAAAACCGCGAAACGCGTTGTTTGTATTGCAAGAACTAATGTTTGAGACTGCCAAAACTCACTTCAGATTGACACATTGCGATATGATTCCCCACATGAAACCATGCCTTCGCCTCTCCCTACTTTTTTTTTTTCTTGTTCGCACCTACTTCCACAGCCCGGCGTCTTTCAACGCCGCGACCGCCTCCCTGACGGCCACGCGGTCCTCCTCGTATGTCAGGACCGCGTCCACGTCCCGCGCATCGAACCACTTAAAGTTCTCGACTTCTTCCTCCTGCAGAACGACCGCGTCCGGGTCGCGCACGACGGCGACGAAGAAGCAGCACTCCTTGTCGACCCTTGTGGTCGTCGAGTTGGTCGTCCCCGTCGTTGTCGTGGTTGTCTTGTCGAACTGGTAGCGGGACGAAAAGGTGCGGGCGTCGAGGAGCACTTGGGCGGGCGCGAGGCCGGTTTCCTCGAGCAGCTCGCGGGTGGCGGTGGCGAGCGGCGGCTCTGCGGGGGACGACGGGCGGCCCTTGACGAGCGTCCAGTGGTGAGCGGAGGTCTGCTGGATGGCGAGGATGAGAAAGGGTGGTGGTGGTGGAGGGGAGAGGATTGCGTCGCCGTTGCTGCTAGTCGCGGTGGTGGTCGTGGCTGTGGCCGCGGCGGCAGTGGTGGTGGGGCGGAGCGCGATGAAGCCGTACGAGACCACCTTGATCGTGCGCATGTCGGTTGGTGTTCGTTTTTTGTTTCGCTTTGTTGTCGTTTTTTTGCTTTTCTTTCGTTTTTATTTTTAATTTTGTTATTTTTTGTGTTTTTTTATTGTTTTATTGTTTTTTTGTTGTTTTTCTTTTGCAATCGCCAACTTTTTACTTTGCCAACTTTTTACTTTGCCTAAGCAGCAGTTGCTGTGCCGCAGCAACCTTTGCTCGCCGGGACAGAGAGTAGTGCGACAATTATTACTGCAAAAGGTGGTCCCAAGTGGAAGAAGAGTAAGCACTTTTGGTGCCGGGCGGGGGACTCCTGCCTGCAGCCACGGCCGAACGATCAAACTATTTTCTGCCGTCGCGGGCCGGGCGCGAGCGAGAGACGCGGCGCGAGACCTGGTGTTCTGTGTCAACAAACAGAGGCGAAAGGTTATTATTGTTGGAATATGCCCTCGCGAGAAAATTACGGTAATCAATTCAGAAGAAAAACTTGACCCTCCGTCCCACACTCGCCCCCGCGACCCGGTCCCACGATCACACCGCACCCGAGCCCGAATTTCAACAATTAATGCATGTATGCAGTGTTAATACTGGCCCCGTATGACGGCGATAATATGCATTTATCGGATAATATTAATAACCTCTTTGCGCTCTCCGTTTGGACGGCGACTGATTAGTGACTTGTCTTGTCGGCTGAGCACCCGAGTCGTGCAGAACAGAACAGACACGATTGCCGTTGAAAGAGACAGAGACAGATGAGAGGAGATTGAGAGAGAGAGAGAGAGACAGAGAGACAGAGAGACAGAGAGACAGAGACAGAGAGAG